GGGACATAAACCCTCCCAGGTGGTTTGAGTTTAATATTAAGCTTTCAATTAGTAATGCTGCTATAAAAATAAAACACCATTGTATGTGCCTTAGATTTATTTATGTCATCCAGTAGACATACAGTAAACAAACAGAAAACAGATTCTAAATACAAGAATAATTTGATAAAATATAAAGATTTATGACAATAGCTAAAACTGTAGCAGTGACTTATGCCTCAATGAAGAGGATAAGCACTGTACTTTAACCTTACAAGCTAATAACTCCAATGAAGAAGTTATAACATGAAGGTTCTTTCAACAATTGCTCAAAATGTAACAATGTAACATGCTCCAATTAAGGGGATGCACACTGTACATTTAGCCAAACAATACAAATAACTCCATTTAAGAAGTTAATGAATGTTGACTCTTTGACTGGTCCCTTTAAATAAAAAGAGGGAACGGTCCCTTTATTGCTGTAAGTTAAAATACTTCAATATATTTAATGCACTGAGGAAAGAAAATATTAGGTTAAAAAATAATATAAATTTCCTCACCTAATTTTTTCCGGCTATTACTGTTTCACAATTTATATTAAACTGAGGAAAATTTGTAAAACACGAGAGATATTAACGAGTGAAAGCCAAATCCCGGAAGTTAAGTCACGCAACCTCTCTATGAATACGACATCTATTAATTCGTAGAACACCCACCGTGCGGCCCTATTTTCATGGTGAGTATTCAGGCGAACGAATCATAGAGAGAGCCTTTAATCCGAAAAATGCTATAACTATTTTTCCCACTCCTCTACATGGATATTCGTATGCCTCCTTGTGGATCTAAGATTCAGCACAAATAAACTTTGCTTTAAATTTCTCAGTTTTGTTGACCAAGTCATGAATTTAAAATTAAATTTCAAATATAGTTTAAGACAATATTACATGACAAGAAAACCCGATTAGAGTCCAAAACGTTAATTACATAATGAGGGGTGGAGATTTGTTTGAACAACTGACGTTTGAACTATTGTTTGTTTGAACTATTGGTCGCTTGAATTATTGTTCATATGAACTATACATGACTTCATATTCTTTGGTTTAAATTAACATAAAAATAGTTCAAATGAACGTAAAAATAGTTCGAATGAACCAAAAAATAGTCTAAACAATTTTTGTTCCTGTAAACTATTTTCATGAATTTATTTGAATTTTTTTTTATGTTCACATGAACTATTGTTTGTTCATTTGAACTATTCTTTTTGTTCATTGGAACTATTTTTTGTTCGTTTGAACTATTTTTTGTTCGTTTGTACTATTTTTTTTTCGTTTGAACTATTTTTTTTCATTCAAACTATTTTTTTTGTTCATTTAAAGTATTTTGTTTTGTTCATTTGAACTATTTCGAATTTGATATTCGCAATGTCGCAAAACACATTTTGGTGGTAGCAAAGAACAAGTTCATGTTTCAACTTCACAAGGAAATATTAACCTTAAGATTTTTTCTCTTTCTCCATTTTTTGCACCTTCTTAATAAAGAAAGTTCTTTTTTTCTAATTTAGTTTTGTTCTGAACTAACAATTATCAATTGACTGTTAGGGCTGAGATAGATGTTATCCGACATACATCCTACTACAGAGCTTTCAACTTCAGCTTCTTCTTTACTGCTTCTAGATTCATTCTGCTTTCTACCTTCCTTGTCTTTGGTTTCACTGGACAGGTATATTCGTCATTTTACCACATCACATGAAGTTTATATATCAACACGAGGAGTCTTAGAGGATAATAATAGTTAGACTTATAAGTTTGCAATTTAAATTATATATGTTTTATCGCCCTCTTGTTTCCAATATCTTATAGCCAGCTTATCTCAATTACCTTATTCCATTGGCAGTTTATAGATGTGCAAAAAAATATTCTTTATTATTTTGTAAAAATATAAATACCACAATTATGTTAAAATTTAAAATCTTAACCATGTTGCGAAAGTGATTTTTTGTGCTGTTGTTAACTTGTTATACACCTTGATCTCGATATGACCTACATTACGTAGATAACATGGCAAAATATAAGCAAAATATAATAACTTTTCTGCAAAGAAAAAATTTTGCAATACTGAAAAACTGGTAGGTCTATTTATAACGTTTCACATGGTAAAACATCGCACAGTTATAGCAACTTACAGAACTGTTTACTCACAGGGGTACTAAGGGGCTCAACCAGCTCTCCTGGATCCATCGGGGTCTTCAGGCCTCACGGGATTGAGCCTTCCCGCTGGAAAATAAAATGTAAGCCCCGCCCTGACTAATTCCTAAGGACGCCCCTGACTGTATTAACCCCGTGGAATGTTATTTTTCTAATGGAGAAAATAGCAGTTTTTTAAAATTAAAAAAGAAATGCAGTTATCGATAAGAATTACCCAAACAACGTTTTATTTGGATACATTTTTAAGTACTTTAAAGTGTTTTGAGAAATATTCGCAAATCAAGGGTAATCAATTCTAACTGAAACTAAAAAGGTTTTTTGTTAATAACTTATTTCACTGTGTTTAAAAATTTTTCTTGTTTAGATTCTAACAGCAGAGAAAGCTTTTATCTGCTTATCTCTCTACAATACAGTCAGGCTCTCAATGACCCTATTCTTTCCCTTCGCCATCAGTAGTTTTGGAGAAGCAAAGGTTTCAGTCTCTAGAATTCGCGATTTTCTGCTCATGGAGGAGAGAGCAACTGGGAAAACATCTAGAAGTATTCACGCCAGTGATTCTAAGGTTAGCCATGACAACCTTGGAATACACATTTTACAATATTTGCAATATTGACATTGTAATTTCATGAAGTTTTTTTTTGTAAAAAGTTCGATTTTTTTTAATATTTTGCAAAATTAAAAATAAGTATTTAGCTCTGTATCTCAAAATAAATTGAGTTAAAATGATTATGTACCATATCATTTAAAATTTTAATTCATCAAGATTTGGAACAAGAAAATCTATTGTAATGAAAACATCGAAATAAGTACAAAGTACAAAATCTCCTTACTCCGTTTAGAAAAGTCGTCACATGCACATTGCACAATCCAAAGAGCTTTGTAATATAAAGAGTAGGCATTGGGATTCATACGCAAAACCAGACGCCTCAATTGGGTTCAATAAGAAGCCAAAGAATGTCTACTTTTCTATAATTTAAAAAGATTAAATTTAGGACTTTTTAAGCATTTCCATCACCAAAAACTTGCGTTTTTTTTACATAATTTGCCTTTAGAAATGCATAACTTTATTATATTTTTAGATAAACTTTATCTAAAAACAGACTGCAATGTAATTGGTTTAAAAAATTTGGCTACTTAAAAACCAAGGTTTTTTTTCGGCCTTTGCTCACGTTAGTGGCCTAAAATTCTGCTTTAGACTATAACTAACAAAACTATACTTAATGACATTCTAACAAATTTTGTTTCAAAATATGTGGTATTTTTCATACAAATGAGATGCGAAACAAAATCACAATTTTAGCTTTATTTTAACAGGAGAGCATCCTATCCTATAACCGAGTAAAACTAATTTAGAAGTTTATAACCGTGTCGTTATTTTCCCACTATTTTTAGCAGCCTATGAAGTCATATAAAAGTGTACACACTATTCGGATTAATTTCTAATGCCCTATCTTTTACTATTCTACCGTCTTTGGTACAATCTATAAAATATATATAATATAATATATATAATCGGTAAACAAGATTCACAACACGTTGACAGCTAGACAAATGTAGGACAAACATTAGACTTGGCTAAAGTAGGACGGGAACAAACATAGGACAGACTTTAACATGGGACAAGACACACGTAGGACAGAAATAAACGTGGAACAGGTAAAAAACAGCAACAATCGTTAATTAGGACCTAAGTTTGAATACTTAACTATCTAATGTTATCATTTGAGACAATTAAAACCACAGATTTGAACCTGAACTCCCTGAACAAATCAGGATAAAAAGTTTTATAAAGATTTATATTCTTCCGTATATTTTTACACAGTCGGATACTGATGATAATTTTCATAATCAGATCAATTGTTCATAAACATTTATTGGCTATCTAGCTCATATTACAATTTTAATTTAGAAAAGTTTTATTTTCAGGTTTCTGTCGAAATATCCGGTGTCTCGGGGAAATGGAAAATTGATGAAACAGAGAATACACTTAGTGAAATTTATTTTAAAATAAGGTATTGTACCAAAATTAGTTAATTCAGCTCAGTTTTATTTGCCTTCAAAATGGGTTTCCCGTAATTATATACAGGGGAAGAAAGTACCAAACCGTGCTTATGTTATGGGGGATACAATTATGATTAACGTTTTAGTAACTCGAGTTCAAATATCAATTAAAGAAAGTATTTCCAACATATCATTAAGCAAAACGAGAACTACAAATAGCACTATTTACTTCTTTTCTAAAATTTAAACTGTGAGCAGTCGATAGTTCATTTTTAATAAAAACCCATACCATTTTCGAAAAAAATCAAGGTTTTCCATTTTCGCACATATCACGAGTTCGAATCTTAGACGCGTTTTGGAACATAAAAACCAACTTACGTAACAATCCATAATTTGATAATGTTCAACAATTCAGAACAAAACTCACTTTCATAATTTACAGAATAGTATGAATCACTGAAAATATTTTTATCAAATTATTCTAAAATTTGTTTCCACATTATAGTTTTAAGTATGGAGAGTACAGATGATTTCAAGTTTCCTCAAATTTTAATATAATATTTCCCGCATTTTTCTGTTCAATTTAATTGTAAGAACAATAAAATAGTAATTTTAGAATTTTTCAATGAATTATAAGTCGTGAATTATAAGTCGTTATATTTTGAAATATCAGAGCAGAATATATTTTTGGCCTTTTTATGTTTTTATTATTTAAATCTGTAAAATGTCTCAAAATCGTGACATGTTCCAAAACATGTTTTGTTCCAAGACTTTGAGTTTTCTTCAGAAATTTGACATGTTCCAAATTGAAATAAAGTATCATCACATATTGAAATTTATTTATTTGTAGGGGTTTAATACTAAAAGTTTTGTTTTAAAAATGTAGCCTTAAGTATTCTAAATGAAAGTATGCAGACGTTTTTTTTCTTTTCGGCCTAAATAAAAAGATATTAACCGACAAAAAGATTACTTTGCACAGTGTGGAACTTTCTTTACCTGAATTACATTTGCCTGCATAATACGGTTACCATGATTAACACTTGCAATAAATTAAATTTGACATAACGGTCACCTTTGAAAAATGAAACTGATCAGTTGGCGTACATTCATCTAAATAGTGAAATACCATCATCATTATTTATTTTTATTACTATTATTATTTTATTTGTTAGTTATTTAAATGAAAATATTTAAGGCCGGGTCAACTAGTTGCTGTAATAGGTCCAGTGGGATCAGGAAAGGTGACTATTTTTTGCTTTTATATCAAATTGATTGCCTGATATGTTTTCATTTAACGTCTCTAGAGTTCTCTTCTTCAAGCAATACTGGGAGAACTTCCAATACTTTGTGGTGGTATAGATATACATGGAGATATTTCGTTCTCCCCACAGGAACCCTGGGTGTTTTCAGGTAATATTTAACATAAAAAGAACCCTTTGATAAATAGCGACAGCATTGTAAAAAACTACAAAATTCTAAATGCATGGGTTTGGGGTAAATTACCTAAGTATTAAAAATAAACACTAAATACCATCAGATTTTGAAAGGAATATTCATCTATTAATCTATGTCCAAAATTCTTGGGTATCGATAGATTTCTTAACTGTGCCTAAGTATTTGGGAAATATCTCAAATGCCTCTCTATCTGGGGAATCTCCCAAATTTACCAAATTCATTTTAGAAACTTGGGGTGGAATATTAGTGTGTTGAAATTCAATGCGCCACTTTGTGACACCAAATTTTGTACTGACTGCGTTTGGTCCTTAAAATTGAGAGAAAAGAACTCTTTTTAGACTTTATTAAATTGATTTGAAGTGTCAAAATCATCATGTTAATATCTTATTCAACGAATACAGAACAAGTAGATTGTAAAATGTAGAATGTAGACTTACATAGCTATTGAACCCTGAATCCATTGGAATCACTAATCAAATCACTGAACTGGTCAAACAGTAACAAAGGAATTGAGTTTTTGTCACAAACTCAGATTTTCTAAACCCAACCTCTCTGCAACTGGATAGTGTAAAACTATGATATTTAAAACTCAAATTATTTGATCTACCAGTATTCACAGTTTGAAATATCTAAGGTCTACAACATTGGGTTGCAAAGTTATAACGATAGACGAATTCTAGATTGTGGCAGAGACTCAATTCCATTAAATGTTAACTGTTGCTTTTCAAGTCGCCAATTTTATATTTCTGCAATAAAACAAAGATTTTTGTATATCTTTCTGTTTAAATTGGTGGATTTTTTAAAAATATGTCAACATTGTTTTTTCCAGGGCAAAATTTTTCAAAGGAATTGAGTTTTTGCCACAAAATCCAATTTTCTAATCCTTATATCTCTGTAACCGGATTGTGTAAACCTTTGATATTTCAAGCATAAATTATTTGATCTAACAGAATTCATAGTTTGAAATATTAAAGGTCTATGAGTGACATTGGGATAAAAAGATATAGTGATTAGAAAATCAGAGTTTGTCACAAAAACTAAATTCCTTTGAGCGTCCATAAAACCTTTCTTGGGGTGAGATGCCACATAAATTTTGGACCCGATCGGTTCAAGTCCTACAAAATTTGGTGTAGCAAAGTGTCAAATTTAATCAATTAATGCCTTTGTGAAATTCTGAGGAATTTTAAAATACTGGGCATTTAAGGGAATCTCCCAAATTCCTAGGTGTCTGGGAAATAAACCTTTCCCAGATTACTTCCCAAATGTTATGGTATTTGGGGAGTCTCTCAAATTTCCAGGTATCAGGGAAGTTCCCAAATTCCTGATATTCCGTGTAAAGGAGCTCAGTTTTTGCTACAAACTCTGATTTTCTAATCCCTGCAACATCGGTTTATAAACATATATAGGGGGTTAGAAATTCTGAGATTGTGTCAAAAACTCAGTTCCTTTCTATATTTTCAAGAATATACTGTTGTGATGGTGTGAATAATGTGAAATAAGGGGCCATCGCAAATGGAAATAAGTTAGATTAGTTAGATTAGTTAGATTAGTTAGATTAGTTAGATAAGTTAGATAAGTTAGATTAGTTAGATAAGTTAGATAAGTAGGGAAATATAGATGTTTTGTCTGAACTCTCAAGGTAACCCGCGGCCAAGACATGAGAAAAGACAAGGAGCTGTAAGTCAGGATTAAACCATAGCCAGTATCGAATGAGATTCCCAATCGAGAAGGACATTTTGCCATTCAAGGTCAAAAGGGGCCTTTGACTGAAATGAAATCATCGAATACCTAAGATTTAATACCTAATATGACCCATATTTAATGGTTATCAGTTTTGACCTCCAGAGGTCATAATTACATGAAGGTCCTTAACCACATTGATTCAAATAAGCCACAGTGAACAAAAGACGACTTTAAATGAACTGAGTTCTTACCACAAATTCAAACTTTCTTCCCTTTATCTTTTCAACATGGCGGTGTAAACCTTTGAAATTTCACACTATTTGGTCCAACAGAATTCATAGTTTGATGAATTTAAGGTCTAGAGCATCAAATTTCTGTTATGTATTAACTAAATTGTAAAAAAGTTGACACGACACCCTGGTACTGATAAAGAGACGCGTCCAGATTTACTAAGGTTGGTGCTAATTGCTGAAGGCTCTTAGAATGTTCTTTTTAGAACCGAGTTGAGTATTTGTGATATTTAAAGTCTGGAAATGATATAGAATTAAGTAATTTTTGTGGACCGCTGCCAGCTACTTGCCTTTTCTCTTGGTCTTCCCCCTTTTTCCCTCCAGTTCTTAATCTGAACCTAAGTCTCTATAATATCAGTAATCTTATTAATTTTCAACAATTGTTTATTGGCATCCTGAGTTATACACATTATATGTGCACAATCGACACATCACATACAAAAAATATTGAAATTAAAACGGAGGTATCAAAATTAGAAAGAATAAAATACTGAAATGATTTATTATTTATTCAATTTACAAGGAAGTGTTGAGGACAATATCCTGTTCGGAAAACCGTATAACAAGTCAAGATATCTCAGTGTAATAAAAGCCTGCGCTCTTGAGCATGATCTGGCTCAGTGGTCACATGGAGATAAAACCTTAGTTGGAGAGAAAGGAGTGGCACTGTCAGGAGGACAGAAGGCAAGAGTTACCTTAGCAAGAGCTGTTTACAGGTTGGAAATAAAATGAAATCATATAATCAATAAAAAATCAAAAGAATAAATTTAAAATAAATAAGTAAAATTTCAAATGGTTGAATTGAAATATATGTATATACATATACTAGATACAAAATTGATAAAATCCGTTGCTATTCGTAGTTAAACTTTGATTGGTGAAGTATTAAGTGTTCATAAATTGTCTATTATATTGAATGATTCTTACGCCGATTTATATATCCTTTTCTCTCTCTCATTCTAACTTCACAATAATTCGTGCATTCTTTCCTAAATGTCGTCGTTTTCATCCCTATTTAACATTTTTATTTACTAAATTACATATTATCCATAGTTTTTTATACACATATTTTATTATATCTGTATCTTTATACTAATCTTCAATATTTTGCTTATTCTTTTCCAATACATTGGTCCCCATAAAACATCTATTCATTACTCAATCTTCCCAATTACTCCAACTCCCAATTTACCAACCTTTTTTATCATCCTAACATTCATTGAATCCCAATCCCAACTTCCTCCTTAGTTGATATCCATTCCAATTCCCAACCTATTTTTAGATCTTTAAAAAGTGAAATATGTCTCAAATGAATCCTAAAGAAGTTTTCCACAACACTGCATACCCATTTCAATTACCTTACATAGCCGGTCACTCCCTTTAAAACGTCTCATAACTTTAATTTTAGTGTTCGTGTTTATATAACCAAAAAATTAACGTCATTAGGATAACGTTATATTTCCTTCCCAGATTAACATTATAATATGTTAATGTCATGTAACGTGACCTTATCTTAATTAGGTAGCATTACTGTAACGTTATAAATAAACATTTGTAACATTTGTAACATTACTTGAAATACTCATTTTTTAGTTCCCATCAAAGAAATCAGTCATTTGCCCCAGGGTTGCACAAACATCAGCCGCTTCTGTTGGTCCAGCAATGAGTAGAAGTTTTTCTTAATCAAATTTCCAAGAGTCCAAACAACATGAAAAAATATGGTAGCCTTTGTTTTATTTACGCATATTTTAAATATCAATCTTCTTTTTAGAAATGCTGATTGTTATCTTCTGGACGATCCTCTCTCTGCAGTCGATGCTCATGTTGGGAAACATTTGTTCCAGAAATGTATTCGAGGATTTCTAAAGGATTCAGCAATTATTCTGGTGACCCACCAGTTACAGTACCTGAAGGATGCGGATCTTATTGTAGTTCTCAAGCAAGGGAAAATACAGGAAACAGGAACATTTCAACACTTGGCCAAAAATGGTCTCGACTTCTCAGCTTTTCTTACGTTAGAGGAAGAGGAGAAAAAAGAAGAAGAAGAGGACATATTTTCCGAGGAGGATATTCTTTTACTGAAGGGCAGGGAACCTGTTAGAAAGCAATCAACCTTTTCTGATCAGTTTACGATTGACTCAAGGAACGGATTATTTAATTATTTCTTATTCGCGTAATTTTAAACAATTTTATTTTTTAACGATGGGGGACACATGTTTTACCTCCGGCCCACAATTGACGTCACAAAATCTTATTTGCGGCATGCGCTTACATATATATATAGACTCCGACCTACGCCCGTTTTCCCTTCCGGCAAAAAGTCTTTACTTTTGCATGCGTGGGTTAATGCATAGCATATAGTTCAACTGAATTTCACACCAAACTGTGACATTCTTTTTGAAAAATGTTTTATTACCAAAACTATTGCTCCCAGGGAGCGAGGATGTTTTACTTATGTTACCAAAGGTTGATATGTTTAGGCTAAGATACAAACCATGACGTCTTCAAGATCTTTCGTAAACGCTGCTTAACCATTGAAAAGTAAAGACATTTTGCAGGGAGACAAAACGGGTGAGGCTAACAAGCACAATGGGTGAGCGTGCTGCCGGAAAATCCATTTTGTGACGTAATTTGCAGACAGGAAAAAAACGTGTGTGTTGAGAAACAACGAACCAAAAACGAAAGTGTTAAAACGGTAGTTTATTGGATCGTTTATTGGCTCGTTTATTGGCTCGTTTATTTGCTCGTTTATTGGCTCGTTTTCCCTTTTTTTCTAAAAAATATTGCAAAGCGTATTAAANGCCGGTTTATTGGCTCGTTTTTCCCTTTTTTTCTAAAAAATATTGCAAAGCGTATTAAAGCCAACTTTAACAGAATACAGTTTTGAAATGTATGAAGTTGAATTAACCAAAATGATTAACAACCCTATGTACGCTCCTGTGTTAGTGTGATACTGACAATTTTATGCAATACTGCATATTTTTAAACTTCATATTCTAATCCTTTATTCAGGTTGTAACGCAAAATGGGTCAATTTAATAATTCCTTAAAATATCTTTTAGCAACCAAGGACATTCAAGAGAGATCAAAAGTATATAAATGCAACCTTTGATGTGTTTAAAATAGTAAAAAAATGTTGACCGAAATAATGATTAACTAGATTTCTAAATGTTTTTTTAAATGCTTTAATTTGCTGAAATTTTGAAGTTTTTTATCCGAAATTAAAGGGAATGATACTTTATCAAATAAAATCTCTTAAAGTATGAATATATAATCCTTTTATACATTCAGAAATAAGTTTGAACAGGAGAAACCGGACATAAAAGGTTTTTGTCGGCCGAATACTTTGATTAGAGCTCGGACATTGTCCGTGGGTTCAGATATATCTCAAATATCTAACCTAAGAGAAGAAATTGATTCACTTACCCGAGATTACGAAGAAGCTCGTAAACCTGTCGCAATTAAAGAGGACAAAAGTGTTGGAACTGTGAAAGGGGGACTTTACATAGCATACTTCAAAAGCGGGGGAAACTGTTGCACTGTAATTTTTATCCTTTTCGTGAATCTTCTTTGCCAGGTAGGAAAAATGATTTTTAATGGATTCTCTTTTTTGTGGGATTAACTTCTCAACTGTAGATACAATTTTCAGGGACTTTACTCAGGGTCGGATATATGGATTAGTTACTGGACAAGTATTGAAGAGAAAGAACTATTGATAGAACTAGAGGAATTGCCAGCTCCAATCTTAAGTAACATAACTTTTCCCAGGTGCTAACTATCAATTAGATGACATTGCGTATATATGTATCATCGTATTTAAGTCCAAAGATATCTATAAAAAGCCTTCTATAAATAGAACACTTTAATCTTAGGTCAAAAAGATCGTTTTCCATGTACAAACTGTCCGCAAATGGATTTGCCGCATCACGCTTACCCGTTAGCTTCCTCTCCGCATGGAATTTGTCTTTCGGCAAAATATCTTTACTTATAAATGCTTGTTATAGACGAATAAAGCGTTAATTTAAGAGTTCTACGTGTGCTGCTTGCCTTCCTTGTCTGATGCCCCTCACTTAAGGCACATACCTGGGCTTTTAAACCTGCCTAAGTCCTGAGGCCACTGCCAAAATGCCTTATTTTACCCATAACCAGACTAAATCTATGATTAAACCTACTTCCAGTCATTGGATTTTAAGATGTTATAGCTCTTAAGAAAGCCTAAAACAAAAGAAAGCAGATTGCACAATTTTTGCAAAGAAACTTTGCAAAGATTTTTGCAAATGCGCTGGTTCAATGGTTTTTCAAACTCGTATAATTTGTCGCATTTTATGCAATTTTAGTTTTTGCACATTTTTACTGAATAAATATAAGGTTTCGAAATAAATTTTTGATTTATTTTGCAAACTTGCGGCATGTTTTTGAAAATTATTGAAGTAGAGCCTAAAGGGCTTTCCAAAAAAACTATCAAATGTTATAGGTTTATATCATAATAAGAAAATAGAGGGTTTAAGCCCCCCTCCCCCAGTCTATTTTGGGTAATCCAGTCAGTCGGAGTAGGGTTAAAGAGATTAATTTTCTAATTTTCTAATCTTTATTTTCTTAATTTTCTAATTATCTCTGCAACTCAATATCGTAGACCATATATTTCAAACTGTAAATTCTCCTCGTAAAACTTTAAACTTTACACCATCAGATTTCAAAGATATAGGGTCAGGCAATTTGAATCAGACTCAATTATTTTTGCGGTCAACTGATGCGCATCTAGAGTGAAACAATATCTATATAATAAAACAAGACATTCGTATATATATATATATATGTTGCCTATAGCCGGTCATACGGCAGGGTTTCCAACGTAATATATTATTCTCTTACGCAAATTACGTGCAGTTACTCGTAATAATTTTCATTTCATATAATTTCGCAGGATTACGCGTAATTGGGGAAATATCCATTTTGCGAAATTACGGCGTAATTTTGCGTAATTTCTACAGCATAATTTCGCGAAATTTCGTAACGATTACGCGTAATAAGCGAAACTATAATTACTCGTAATCACGGAGTAATTTCGCGTAATTTCTACAACGTAATTTCGCGAAATTTCGTAATGATTATGCGAAATAAGCGAAACTATAATTACGCGTAATTACGGCGTAATTTCGCGAAATTTTGTATTAATTACGAGTAAATAGCAAAACTTCAAATTCGCAAAATTACGCCGTAATTTCGCGTAATTTTGGAAATTTTGCAATAATTACATCTATGAAATTTTGAAGTTTTAACTTTTATTCTAAATAAAACAACTAACTTACAAGGAAAATAATGTCACGCAAGTTGAATCGGAAATTTCAGCCCAACTAAAAAGTTTAACAAAGGGCCAACAAATTTAGTTTTATCAAAAAAAATACATAATCTATAAATTTTCAATTTGTTAATATTTCAACCTACTTTCTCAAGTTTACCTTTCTTGTTTGAAAAAAAATGTCCATAAAATCGTCAAAATATGTTTGACATGGTTGTAGCGGTCATATCCTAACACATTCATTCCCGCTATAATTATTTCTGAGAATTAATATGTACTTTATTTATTACGGAATTGTTTTGTATTACGTAATTTCGCGTAGTTACGCATTACTTACGCGTAACTAGACTTTCTTTCGTAAACGTAATGAACGCGTAATTACGCGTAACGTAATGCTCCTGCGTAAGTGAAAGAAAGTGTTACGCGTAACGTAATTACGACTGGAAACCCTAACCAAATGGGCTGAAATTTTGTGTGGACACTCATGGATGGCCGTGGGGTGTTTTAGGCTAAAAAAAAAAAATTTTCCCAATTTTTTTTCAAATATTTTTTTTCCCATGGGCAACTCCGGGCCCTTCAGCTAGTATTTAAAAGATGTTGAAAATATTTTAGATGGCTATTAGTTTTAATTAAAAATTAAGTCGTGTTAACATTTCGGACAATGTATAGAATATTTATTGAATACACCAAATCAATTATTTTTGCCCTCTTAGATATTTTTGATTCAAAATTCAATGAATAAAAAATTAGGGATATCATGTATAAACATTTCCTTTGGTGTTTGTAATCCTTGTAATGCTTATTTTGGTCGAGTACAGTTAAACCCTAAATATTAAATATATCGTAAGAACGTAGCAAGTGTCGTATTCTTTACTTTCTGATAATGGAATGTTGCAGATATTTAGTTTTTAATGAAATGATTATACGAAGCTCTTTAAAACTGTTCCGGCATATTCATGGCTATTTATTTATTTTCGCAAATACTGAAATTTACGTAAAATAGTACAAAATCCATTGAAAAATTTTCAAGACGACATTTTATAAATTCTTTCGATGTATTTAATATTTAGGGTTTAACTGTACATTTCAAAGTTCATAACACAGCATGTTGCTACTAAATATGGTTTTGAAGATATTTAACTCTCGTTGTTCAGAATAAACGTGTCTGTGAACTATGAAGAAGAGTGGGCTAACCCAAACAACTACAATTCTCACTACTTTAATCTTGGTATTTACGCAGCATTGGTCGGAGCCCTCGTCATTGCTTCCATGATCCGAACTGTTCATTTCTTCGTTGTCTGCATGCAAGCATCAGTAAACCTTCATAATTCCATGTTTACAAAAGTGGTTCAAGCTCAATGCAGGTTCTTCGACGTCAACCCTGTAGGTAACATATATATCATATCTTTTTTTCATGTATTTAAAAATATTGAATAAGATAAATGACTAAATGAGATTACTGAAAATGATTTTTTAAGGTCGAATTCTAAATCGGTTCTCAAAAGATGTTGGTTCTATGGATGAATTACTTCCACCTGCATTTTTCGACGCTTTTACAGTAAGTATAGCTGACTTAAATTTTTGTTTTCATAGATTGTTCAGGAAATTGAAGGTGACGTTTTGTCCGAATTTGCAGTATGATGCTTTACAATAATGAACAACTTGCCGCTTTATTTTAATAAATGAAAACTAGTATAGTAACAGAAAACTAAAATATTAAAGTTTTTGTTTTGTTTTCACCATTGTCTCTGTTTTTGGCCTGACAAATTTCACAATTACTCATGTGTCCCAAGTTGGAAACTTGGGACTAGAGAAGTTAGTGTTGCGACCCTAAGCTGTTAACATGTAATAATAAAGGAATTGAGTCTTTAACACAAACTCAAGTTTTCTAACCCTTAAATTTTTGCAATTTTATGGTGCTAAAGCAAGCTTGATTTCTTGAATATACGTGCATATTACCCTTTAAAAGGAATTGAGTCTGTGCAGTGGAACAAAATCAAATATTTAAACCCCAATATCTTTAGAACCCGATGTTGTTAACTTTGATATTTCAAAATCAGATTATTTGATTTAAGAGAATTCATAGTTTGGAATATCTAAGGTCTGCAACATTTGTTTCCAAAAATATAGTGATTAGAAAATCAGAGTTTGTGACAAAGACTCAATTCCTTTCAAATTAAATTCTTAGATCTAACAGCATTCATAGTTTTAAATAAGGTCTACGACATTGGGTTGCAAAGATATAGGGATAAGAAAATCAGTAACTCATATCCTTTTTTTTCATAATTTTATAAATCAGGATGAAATATGAATGAATACATGATCAATTTGATATACTTGTTTCCATGTCTGGGTTCAGAGCTTTTATTATGAAAAAGGGAATATTTTAGGTCAAAAATAGGGGAAATGGTGAAAAGGAATCTAAGGAATTTTTACTAATAGGAAAAAAAAGCTTTTAACTTGAATTAGTAAGAAACAAATATCTCAAACCTTTTCTGAAGTTTCTATAGTGTTGCAATGAATATCAAATGTTAACTTTTCTCAGTTTTTTATTTGAAATCAAACATGAAAAAATAACCGGCTTCTAAATATGAGGAATTCAAATTTACACATAAGAACTGCTGAATTTGTAGTAAGTCTTTAAACTATGACTCTTTACCATATTATAGTTCAAAATATGTTGGTGCCATGGGGTTCCTCTTTCCTTCCTTTTCCTCTACTATATATATACTCCTCCTTTAAATTCACATTCATTCATTCTTATTTTTTTAATTATTTTGTGCTTTTTATTATGTAGTACAATTTGTTAAATTCTTAAGATAAAATGTATGCATAAACAATAAATATGTATAAAAATTAAGATATTTATCAGAAAACTTTGCAAATGCCATATACTTCTGGTTAATTAATGGTATCATTTATACCTTCAGAACCTTATAAAAATAGAAATGTAATCTTCATTGTGTATTTTAATAGAATATATTTTTTAGATATTCCTAAATATCTTGGGGATAATGGCTGTGATATTTGCTGTGAGACCATGGGTGATCCTTCCTACTCTTCTCCTTGGTATAATATTCATCTTACTCAGAAGGTTCTATATGAGGTAACTGGTTGCGTAGGAGCATTGCACACCTATACCTATACAACAGTAATTTATTATGTAGGCTTTCTATAAAAATTTTAGAATAAAGATCTTCTAAGAACTTAAAGTAACATTTTTCCTATGATGAAAACTTTTTTTTGGACATCATATATATTTTTGTGTTGTTGATCAGTGAGAGATGTTAGGAGAACTTACAGGGCTTTTTCGTTTTTCTATTTTTCACATCTAATTGTCATGTTTTGCCCTGCACATATTTTTTATAGATCAGCGAGAGATATTAAGAGAATTGAAGGAATTGCTCGCTCTCCTGTTTTTTCTCATCTATCAACCTCCCTAAATGGTTTAACCTCAATCAGAGCATTTAACGCGGAAGAAATGTTGAGGTAGGTCTTGTTTAAAAGATATATTTTGTTAGGCAACTTAAAAAAACTTGTTAACTATCTACTTGTTCTTATATTTTAGAACAGAGTTTGACAGATTGCAAGATATTCACACTTCTGCTTGGTTTGCGTTTATATCTGGGACCCGTTGGTTTGGTGTATGGTTGGACTGGATCGTTGTCATCTACCTTGCTTGTGTGGTATTCAGTTTTCTTGTACTAGGAGGAGGTAGCTATTCTAAGAATTTTCTTTCAATGTCTCCAAAGTTATCGGTTAAACTGTATATAATTTGAATTTGTCTGGATGTTACTTTTTTCAGTACGAAGGTTCATTAGAATTATTAATCTAATAAAAGAATGAAAAGACAGGATAGAAATAGAAATTCCCAAATAATTTATTTCAGAAATCACTCCATTTTTCTTTTAGTTGAAGAGATAACAATCCTTTTCACATACAAATTATAACAAAACTTAGCTGTTATTCCAATTTTCTCTCATTTTTTCCTTCTTTCTTTCAATTTTCGTTTTCTTCTTTTTATTTTTTTATTTTTTTTTGTCTCAGATAGTTTTCGGGGGTAAAAAAAAGGGCAGGCCCCTGTGCCCCCCTAGCTACGGGCCTGCTTTTCAGCATACTTATCGAACCATTATTTGCTGAAATTCATGGCTTTAAAGGATAAAAAAGAGTAAAATATAAAAGTTTCATTTGGAACGTTTGGACAACAATTTTTTTAGAGATTTCCCCCCAAAAGTAAACCTGAGAGATTCTTTGATTTAGTATGAAAACTGTAATCTGTAGTTATTTCATCTGCCAGAGTTTAGAATTTCTTTGTTTATGTTTTTACTGCCTATTGCTGTACTTAGTAAATGAGAAATACATACACAGCAAAGTTGTTCCTTTAACTGTTTATCTTGCAGAAATGTTACAGAAAAATTTAAAAGCTTTTCATAATTACAAAACAATCTATTACCGTTATAAATATAAACAGTAGCAGGCGTAACTTTATTTTGATAATTGAAATTGGGCAATACAACGCAAATTCTTTATAAAGACGATTTCAAATTAGTCTCTTTCCCATGTTTATTGGGACACCCTGAATATAATATTGAGAGATTCCACCTAACTTACAGTATAATAATACAATATGATGCATGCACCGGCACACGGCCTATAAAATTAGTAAAAGATAGATGTATATTAGTGCTCTATATTCAATAACCTCGTTAAAATTTACACACACAGTCAAGCTAAATACCAAATAGATCAAAAATTATTTAACATCATTCTTTGGTCTTCATTTAGTTGAATTACACCTTATAGTTACTATCGAACTTAGACAAAGGATCCCAGACTTGTATCATCAGTATTCTCTATCAGGCCTAGATGTTACACTAAACCTGTGGTATAGGGGAGGTCAGGCGTTTTTCACACTCACAAATTCTCCTCTTTCCTTGTCCGGGGATTCTCTGTCATCAGGATGGAACCAGAGCTGAAAACTTTAGAATTGGATATCCTTAATCCTGATCGGATAATTAATCTGGAGATTAAAAATGCGAGGAGAACAAGCAATATTTAATCTCGAGATTAAGAAAAAGAGTGGATTAAGCATTAATCCCGATATCCACCATTCCAAAGTTTTCAGCTCAGGAGAAACAAAAAGCTCAAACTCAGAATCGAAACCTGCGGAGAAGGTTAAAGAGAAGAAAAGAAATCCTGAGGCCTGTAAATGGAACCCCCGGAGGAAGAACCAGCAGGGAAGGTTTCAGCCAATTAGGATCCCAAAGAACAGGTGCCTGTCAAGGAGGAATACTTAGAGCAGTTTCTGATGGCACAGGAATCCCTAGAGCAGGTTCTACTGGAGTAGGAACCCAGAGAGGAAATCTTCCAGGATCTAAGGCTCTAAGACCATTTTTCTCTAGAGCTTTTAGAAGCCACAGAGCAGGTTTCAGTAAAGAAGGACCAAGTTTTTCAAAACTAATAATCCCTGTTGCAGGTTCCTCTACAGTAGGAGCCCCTGATATAGGTTCTGCTACAGAAGAAGCCTCTTGTGAAGGTTCCTTCGTTGTAGGAGACCCTATAATTGCAGGTTCCCCAATTCGAGGAGTACTATCTAGTGCTTCGTACAAAGAAACTTTCCCATCCTGTTATGTGAGCTTCCCGAGGGAATCTCTAATCCCTCAGTTGGATGGATCAAATCCTTCCCCAAAGTCTAAAACCCATCTTTCATGGATCCAACAAATATACCAATGAATCTAACCTAGCACATTCCTCTAGTTCTTACAGTATGTTTGGATATTGTACTTCTGACAAGTGTAATCTTTGCCCAAAAAGAACAAGAGCAAAAGTGGGGGATTTCTATGCCTGCTTTGTCTCAAAAGATTCCAGCACAAAAGGATGTGATTTGGTTCACGCACATTTGAGAACTAATCTTTGTTTAATAGACAGCGAAAATATATATAAATGTAAAATGACATTATAAACATGTATATTTTGTATTTACACATATTTTTAAACCAATAATGTTTTATGCTATAATTTTACAAAATAAACATTTAGATCTCAAAAAATCATTTTATCTTATACGTTTATATCTTGAACGCTTGATCTCGATATCTTATGTTGGCACTTTTAAATTTGAGGATAAATGCTTGATTCTTGCGTCCATCTCTTTGTGGTATGACGTATTAACTGTAGTTTGGCAATCATAGCAATATGAAAAAAAATCTAGTTTACTGTTTTTTTTCCTTTTGAGTGAAAAAAAATATATTTATTTTCCCAAGAATTTTAATAAATAATCTAAATAAAAACAGCTTATGTTGTTTGTAGATCTAGTTGGCGGAGATGTCGGATTAGCTATCTCCTCGTGTATTACTCTGACAGGAATGTTACAATGGGGAGTTCGGCAGTCGGCTGAAGTTGAAAACCTGATGACATCTGTAGAGAGAATAATGGAGTATTCAAGATTAGAACAGGAAACATTGAGTACAGATTTATTTTATAGTGTAACCTTGCCATGCATTGGGCCGGAAAAAAAACACCTTAAAACAAAACGCTAATACTTCAAAACACCTAAAATTCATAACGCCTAAAATCAAAACATCCACATGTCAAAACTCCTAAAACAAAACACTCAAAGTCTCAAAACACTTAAAGTTACAAAGCACATAAATAATACACCTAAAGGAATTGAGTTTTTGCCACAAACGGAACCCAATGTCTTGGATCTTTAATTTTGAATACCATCAGGTTGGAAAGATATAGGCATTTATAGAAAATTTTAGTCTGATCAAAAAAATTCATTTGATTTAAGGTAAAAGACACCTAAATTTCATCTTAGGAAAGAAACACCAAAATTTATAAATGAACTTTGTGTGTACAAAACACCTAACTTTCATTTAAAAGTAAAAAACTAACTTTCATTTTAGAAAAGAAACATTTAAATATTTGAATGAACTTTCTGAGTGTAAACATTTTGTAAGAAATCCGCTAACATAAAGTTATAAATTCGCAATCTGTGAGAAACCATAAGAGCATTGTTGATGACAATGTTTTTTTTGTCTGAAATTAGATTTTATGATGTTTTAAATTAGAAATTAAATTTTTTTTACCATTAAATGATGTTCAGGTGTTTTGAAAATAAGGTGTGATAACATTTTGTGTTAAATTTTAATAATATTTTCAAATCATAAGAATACAAATTTTATATTTTGGCGTTTCGATCTTTAAATGAAATTTAGGTGTTTTTACCAATAAATGAAATTTAGGTGCAGTATCGTATCTTTGGCTGTTTTGGCATTTAGGCGCCTTTTTAAAATTAAGGTGTTTTGAAACTTAGGCGTTATGTTTTTAGGTATTTTGTACCCACTCCGTTTAAATAAGTCATTTTTATCATTTTTATCTTCTATGGAACCTCAAAAAGTGCCTAGTGCTTGTGGCTAAGATGGTTCTTTGGGCCGCTTGACAATTGCCACAAAGATATACAGGTATCTTTGCAAATGTCTGTCGAATTCTGCATAATCTGCGTTTTCTAAAATAAAGGGTTAATAAACTTGGGCCTAGGTAATAGAACTGAACTTCGAAATTTACTGTACTCATTAAATAGGAGGCACCAGCAACAATTAATGAGACAAAACCCCCTGAAAGCTGGCCATGTCGTGGAGTTATAGAGTTTAAAGATGTCAAGTTAAGATATGCGGAAACGGAACCGATGGTTCTCAAAGGAATTGACTTCAAAACCCATAGCGCCGAAAAAATTGGAATTGTCGGAAGAACTGGAGCAGGAAAATCTAGTATAATAACAGCTCTTTTTCGTCTAGCAGAGCCTACTGGTAGTATTTATATAGACGGAGTTGATGTGTTAAAGATTGGACTGAAAGATCTGAGATCCACAATATCTATAATTCCACAAGATCCTCTCCTTTTCACCGGAAGTTTGAGACGAAACTTGGATCCGTTTAACGAGTTTTCAGACGACATGATCTGGAAGGTTTTGAAGGAAGTTCATATGTTCGAACCTGTATCAGAACTAAAACATGGTAAAATTATGTATAACACAAATATAGGAATTGAAATTTTTCTAATAAAAACCGTTCACAATAAGTTTAATATAGGAATTGAAACAGAGATGAGTGAAGGAGGAACTAATTTCTCCCTCGGTCAGCGTCAGCTGGTTTGTCTTGCGAGGGCTTCTCTTCGGCACAATCCTGTTCTAGTTCTAGATGAAGCCACAGCCAACGTGGATCCCAGAACAGACAAATTTATACAAGAACAAATCAGAACAAGGTTAGTACACATTTGATAATAAAATAATTGAAACAGATAGTCTTTAATCAATATTTCTATATACAGGGTGTCCCACGAAACATGACAATAGCAAGACGACTTGAAAGTCGTCTTTGGTATTTGAATTTATTTGTGACATTTAGTCTTCTTTCTACTTTAACATGTATGATTCTTGAAACAATTATCACATAATTCTCCTAGCCCTGGCATTTCCAAAAAGTGGTCTGCGTTTTTTGTGCTTTCAATATTACCTGAGATATAAAGAGTTTGGTTCAGATTTCAATTTTGTTAAATAAAAGCAAAATTGTCGAAATCTGAACGAAATTCTTCATATCTCGGGCAATATTGAAAGCACAAAAAAG